TAATTTACAAATTTAAACCACTAAGCATGAAATGTATAGTACCTAAATTATATTACTAAATTAAAATAATAATATTGTATAATATATTATTTAGTTTAATAAATTTGAAATAATATTTGTATAAGGTTATGAATTTAAATTATTATTATTATTATTTTAAATAAAGTTTGAATCAATTTTTTAAGGCACCCTTTGCATTTAAATAATTTTTAGAAACTAAACTAAATTAAGTATTATTTTGAGGAAAGAAAAGAGGGTAATATTATATAGACAAAAACTTCATTGTGTTTGTTTTTCTTTAATGGTTAAAAATTAAAAAAAAAAAAAAAATTCAATCTGATTATTGAATGCAAACTGTTGAAAAATGAATTCTAGAATTGGTAAAAAAGATAAAGGTAACACATTGAAATTCTGCAAAATATCAAACGACGACGTTCTTCATCGGTGTTTCCTCCTTCACGCGGCTCTCCCTCTAAACAATTTTCCGTTTTACGTTTTCTCGGGTAGTGGTCGTTTTCTTCGTTTTGTGGGAATCATCGTTACAGCTTAATAATACACGCAGGGGACGGGGCCTGATTACTTTACACATACTGCAACTGTCAATTTTGTTTTTCTTATTATTGTGCATTTCTGTTTTCATCTCAGTTTTCGTAAAGAAATCCCACATCAATCCCAGGCTTCAAGTTCATCAAAACCCAGGTCTGTTTCCTGTTTCTTCTATCTGAAAGGTGTAATTTATTTACACGGGTTTCTGATTCGTCTATAAATTCGTTGGACAATTGAGGTTTTCTGATGAACCCTATTGAAATATGTGCAAACATTTTTGCGTTAATAATTGAACATCTATTGTTTAATGAATAAATATATATGCATGTATTTCTGTTGTTTATCATAAATTTGGCGTCTTCCCCGATGGTTATGAATATCCCTCACTCTTTCCGTTTTTGTTTCTCTAATTTTGCTTCCTTTTGTCGAACGTCGTTTTGGTAATTTCCTAGATGCCACTCAAAACAGCTATTGCTTCGTTTTGTTTTCATGAAGAATGATGGTTGCTTGTCACCCGCGTGCTTGAATCTTTTCTGGAACTTACGACATCTGAAGCAGTTGGGAAACGCTCTTGTGAAATACACTATACGAGTACTAAAATTTACTAATTGTTTAAAGTAGCAGCTTTGTTCTTCGTCTTGTGATGGAATGGTTATGATATTAATAGATGTGCTTGCCAGATTTTCCAGATTTGGTACTTCCATCATTTTGACTGAGATTCTGTAATGTGGGTTTGTTTTCTTAGGTATGTTACTATTTATATGTCGTCTAAAATGGAATGAGTCACAATGTTGAGAAAAGCAAAGTTGTATCAATTGCAATTTGGCATCAGGGTGTTTCTTTAGAAGAGTAGTAGAATGGAAAGAAGAAGAATAGATGACTATGAACCAGGACCAGTACCTTCTCCGAGAGCATTGGACAGGTTTGGATTTGTGAAGCAGGAAACTAGTAATTCTCCAGAAGGTTTAACAAAGGGAAGGTCGTCTGCCGAGTATGAGAGGTATGCTTTTTGTTTCAATTAGATCTGAAATTTCATCTTGAATGAATATTTAATTTCCATCAAATAAACACTTGAGGTTATTTACCACGGATACTATTTTCTTTTCCAGGGATGAAAGAAGCGTTAGGAAATGGAGGAAGATGATTGGTGTAGGAGGGAGCGATTGGAAGCATTATGTTAGGAGAAAACCCCATGTGGTCAAAAGACGCATAAGGAAAGGAATTCCTGACTGTTTAAGGGGTCTTGTTTGGCAGTTGATCTCTGGAAGCCGGGACCTTTTGCTGTTGAATCCTGGTGTTTACGAGGTGCTAGCATTTTTGTTGAGATGTTAGCCCTGCGTTGTTTTCTTTTGAACTTAAAAGTTACTTAATGGCCTCTGGTTGAGATTTTATGGTGCCATGTGTTTGTCTTAGTCTACTGGAGAAAAAAGTTTGAGATTCTCTTTTCCTTGCACGCAATGGGTAAATTTATGCTTAGTTCTAAGGAGCAGTAAAATGCCGGAAACTTTATAAGTCTTGCAAGAAAGTTATTTAGCATATCCAGAATAATGTTCTTCTATGCTTCCTTCATATGTTTCTTTAATATGCAAGATATTGCAATTCCTAAAATTCATTCTCTCTTAAACTTGCGGAAAATGATGCTGCTCTTGTGATGGTCGTTAGTCATTAGCCATTAGCCATAACTTGCCAAAAAGTATGGTTAGCTTGGGACCAGAATGTACATTCGGAAGACAGCATGAACTTTTCGTAGTTACTGCTATTTATTTAGACACTTGCGCATTACTGATTGAATTTTTGCTGCAGCAACTTGTAATATATGAGACATCAGCTTCAGAACTTGATATAATTCGAGATATATCTCGTACTTTTCCATCACACGTTTTTTTCCAGCAGAGACATGGACCTGGTCAAAGGTCCCTCTACAATGTGCTGAAGGCTTATTCTGTCTATGATAGAGATGTTGGTTATGTTCAGGTTCGTGTTGTAAATAATGGTGGTTTTATATTTACTACGAACAACTTACCAAAGCACATTAAGCTTGTGTAAAAAAAAAATTGCAGGGAATGGGTTTTTTAGCAGGTCTTTTGCTTCTTTATATGAGCGAAGAGGATGCATTTTGGTTATTGGTGGCGTTGCTAAAAGGGGCTGTGCATGCTCCAATGGAAGGATTGTATCAGGTAATTTTATTGCTCAAATGGATGAATTATGCCTATAAATAGATCAGTTGTAAGATTAATTTACTAAACTTACTAGTTGGTAGGTTGAATGCATTAAATGTTGTTGTTAGTTGTATGCAAGGGGAAGTGGGTTTGACATTTTTAATCAGACTTTCCTCAGTGAATCTGCAATCAACTGTACCGAGGCAAAACAACAATTCATCATCACCCATTTATAGGACCTGATTTTCCACTCTAAATCCTCAGTATGAGCAGCATTTCAGTTCTATTATGTCCTTAGTTCTATCAAACACTACTTTAGAATCACCATATGAATATTAGGTACTTTGTTCTCAACAGAGCTTTGCTGATCCATTTTTGCAGTTGTTTTGTTTGTTCTTTTTTTACTTCTTTACGCTTCAGCAAATGGAAATAATTTAGCTTTTATCCTCCTCGCTTCTGTTAATTTCTTTACTATGTATATTAATTATAATGGAACAAACTATTATATTTGTACATTATGTGGTGTTGAGTATCCTTGTTCCGTTGGAATAACCAGATCAAATAAATAAGAATAATCAGCTTTTTATCATTGAGAAAAAGCAAACAGAACCATCTTGACGTTAATAATTACTGTCCCTTGAGAGGCCTCATGCATTTTTTTATGCCTATATTTTATCATCTATTTTCTTCTCGGAACTAAGCTGTTAATTTTGCCAGTTTGGTGTCTTGACATGATCCGAAACTCAATGGAAATACTTTTTATGAACATCAGCTCTTGTTTAGAATCTTTCGTTGAATTATGTTGTAACGGTTTAAAAATGCTATTGGAATTAGTTTGAGTTCTGTTGTTTCCTCCCAAGTCCTGATAATAAACCATCAATATAAGAATCAGTTTCTGTTTTTTACATTTTTTTTTGAAATAAAGTTTATGTTTTCTACTTAGGCCAGGAAACCTTCTTATGTGCTGGATAGTTCTCATAGAAGCATTGGATTTTTGCTTGTGTGGTTGAGAACACTGGCCTCTTTTCTAGGATTCCAGAAAGCGATTTTGTCGAGAAAGCTTCGCCCCCTTTTTTTTTCCTGAGAAAATGGCTTTCCAAATTGCATACGCTTAGGTGATAAGAAAATATAGGAAGGAATTGCTTTGTGGCCTTCGAACTGCTTAACATTGATAACAATTTCCATCCCTTGCATACATGCTTTTGCTCACAAGAAAATTGTTATTTCATGCTCATGGTAGGTAGGGCTGCCTCTTGTACAGCAGTACCTGTTTCAGTTTGACCTCTTGGTGAAGGAGCAAATGCCGAAGCTTGGAGAACACTTCACTCAGGAGATGATAAATCCTAGCATGTATGCAAGTCAGTGGTTCATAACAGTTTTCTCATACTCATTTCCTTTCCCTCTGGCTCTTCGAATTTGGGATGTATTTCTCCATGAGGTTAGTAATTGGTTATGTTACAATATCTTGGTTGGAAGCTTCAATTTTTTTTTTGTTCAGATTTGGATTGCTTATGTACTAACAACTTTCCTTGTCTATTTTGGATCAGGGTGTTAAAATAGTTTTCAAAGTTGGTTTGGCCTTGTTAAGATATTGCCATGATGATCTGGTGAGTGATGTAGGACTTCATATCCTCTCCTGTTAACACGAATCATTGATCTATCATTTTTAAAGAGATGATTCTCCTGCTCCCTCAGATTAAATTACCCTTTGAGAAACTCATACATGCCCTGCGCAACTTTCCTGCCGAAGCAATGGATCCTGATGTGTTACTTCCAATGGCTTACTCAATAAAGGTCCTTTCTCTCTCTCTCTCTCCATCTTCCTCTCTCTCTCCATTCCTCCCCCTTTTGGTTTCGGAGTACAATAAGCTTAAAACATAAGGAAATGTTGCATTCATGCCACTAATTACAAATAATTTATTTATTGTCTGGTTATATGTGAACATTGCGATGGTTTTTTCAAAGTGATAAAAAATTTAGACTGCATGTTCTCATTGATCTGTCTTTTAATTTGTGCATAGGTATCCAAGCAGTTAGAAGATCTAAAGCACGAATATGAGAAGAAATGCGGAAAACTAGTACCATCTGTAGAATTTGCAGAAAAATCTGTCATGACAAAAGTTCTGGTCTTCGGAGGAAAAGCCAGCTAGTCAGCGTGTAGATTGTAATTATTTTATTCTTTTTTTTAGCCACTCTGTTTGTACATGTGGAGAAGAATCTGTGTATCAGATGGTGATTTCAGTATTATCAACTGAACGATTTTAGTAGTGCGCATGCTGCGTCAATGCATATAACATTTGGAACTTGATTTGTGAAATCTTTTAATTGATAATGGAGAGATCCATCTGGTCCGTCCTTTTTTTGTAAATTTTTCTTTTTGTTGAATGTCCAAGTATTCCCTAATTATTTTATCAAGACATTTCCATAATTTTACACATTCGCAAGAAAATTAATTTGTTGGAAGTTTAAACAACTTCAACTGCTTTTGAAATAAAGAAAATATAGGCGGTAGGATAGTAATAATAATGGTACTTTTGACAGTGCATTTGTATTGTATAGACTAACAGAGAAGGAAAGAAAATAATTATTTTTTCCTAGAAAAAGAAATGAAATCACCATCAAGCATTTAATGGTTTATAGAAAAGAAGTGACGTCACCGTCAACCAGTAAATTAGTATATATATATATATATGTATATATAGAGACCTGCACAAGCAAGCTGTGAAATGCTCAGTCTCTGTTTTCGTAATACCTAATATGTAATAGGACAGACCTCTTTTTTTTTCTCATATCTATCACTGTAGTAAACCTTTCTTTTACTCACTCTCCCTATATTTTCAATGCATCTGACAATTTTTCCGGCACCTGGGGAAAGAGGAATAGCTGACACATAAAAGAAATAGAAAAAAATGATGAAAAGACTCTCCTCATATCCGTTGCCCCTCCAAAATTGAAATCTGAAAACTTAAGACGCCATCTTCTCACTTCAGCTACGTTTATAGCTGACACATCAAAATTGAAAGCTGAAATCACTGGCAAACTCGAACACACCATCTTTTCTTCTTCAAGCAGCTCTTCATCTTGAACACACCATCTTCTGCCTCCCGCCTCATCTGCTCATTGCTACGTTATAAAGATGAAGAAAATCTAACCCCCTTCCGTCATTCACTTTCTCTTCTCTTATCCTTGAAATCTGAAAAACTTAAGACGCCATCTTCTCTTTATTTTTTCTCAAAAATCTTGCCACTCTCCACTTTCCACTTGACTTCGGCTACGTTTATAGCTGAAATCACTGGCAAACTCGAACACACCATCTTTTTTTCTTCAAGCAGCTCTTCATCTTGAACACACCATCTTCTGCCTCCCGCCTCATCTGCTCATTGCTACGTTATAAATCTGATAGAAAATCTAACCCCCTTCCGTCATTCACTTTCTCTTCTCTTATCCTTGAAATCTGAAAACTTAAGACGCCATCTTCTCTTTATTTTTTCTCAAAAATCTTGCCACTTTCCACTTTCCACTTGACTTCGGCTACGTTTATACCTGAAATCACTAGCAAACTCGAACACACCATCTTTTTTTCTTCAAGCAGCTCCTCATTTGAACACACCATCTTCTGCCTCCCGCCTCATCTGCTCATTGCTACGTTATAAATCTGATAATTTGAAACACCAAAAAGAACACCCCCGCTGGCCCATGGATCATTACAATCTTCAATTTCTACACTCCATGATGCCAATCACATTTCTCAACAACCTTCGCTTTTCTCCTTGGTTCCCCTGAAAACCTCAATCTAAAGGTTTTTATTTTATTTTATTTTCTTTGTATTCTTGTTATTTTTTTTAAAATTTATTAACTCGTTATTTTTTTAAAATTCTTTTTATGTTGTTTGGTTATCAAAGGGATATGTTTGAACTGGGAAAGATGGAGAACGGTGATGTGGTTGTGGAGACAAGGTTACGCGTGCCTCGTCTGCGACATTGACGCTTGAGAGCGAGCTTGATAACATCAAGGAAGCTCAGTGGGAGTGAAGCTTAATCCTCCATCTTCTCATGGGATCATAAGATTTCAGGTGCACTCATTATGCATATAGAGTTGACTGTTGATTTTGTTTTCTTATAAAATATCTCCTTTTGGCTATGTGGGTATGTGATAATAGTTTTAATTTATTTCAAACCGGCAAGTAAGTGATTTATTATATTTTCCAAATGAAAATCAGCTTTCGTTTTTGGACGAAAAATTTTTAATTTGCAATGCAGGAGAGAAATATCTCAGTTCTTGTTTTATTGTTTCTTATATTTATTGGCTTATTATTATTATTATTATTATTAAATTTCTTTTTGTGTTGTTGGGTTTTTAAAAGGGGATTAGATTTGATGGGACAATGGTGGATATGGGGGCGAAGTGGGGAAGATGGAGAATGGTGAGATGGTTGTGGAGACAAGCATTACGCGTACCTTGCCTGCAGCATTGACGCTTTGGTGCGGGCTTGAGAGCATCAAGGGAGCTTTGGAGGAGTTGAAGCTCAATCCTCCATCTTCTTCTCATTGGATTATAAGATTTCAGGTGCACCTCATTATTATTATCAAATAGAGTTGATTGTTAATTTTTCTTTTTCTTTTTTGCAAAATATCTCCTTTTTGCTATGTGGATATGTTATCACTGTTTTAATCTTGTTTCAAACTAGAAAAAATTAGTAGATAACTAGAAATAAATCAAAAAAATATATAGAAATGGAAAAGAATTGAAAGTTAAGAAATAACAAACTAAATAATTTATAAAAATTAAGGCCAAACAAAATAATAGGAATGAAGAAACAAAATCTAATAGATAAGAAAACAAAAAAAATACCATTACATAAAAAATAAAAAAAGTTATTAATTTTAAAATAATAAAATAAAAAAATAGAAATTAGGGGGTTAGGGGTTAGGGGTTAGGTTTGGGGGGTTAGGGGTTATTAGGGGGTTTGGGGGGTTAGGGGTTTGGGGGTTTGGGGTTAGGGGTTAGGGGTTAGGGGTTAGGGGTTAGGGTTT